TAATATATTCTGTTTCTTTTATTTAATATTTTATATTAATATATTCGGTTTATATCAATACATTCTCTCTTTTATTTAAATACGGTTCTTCAACATAGGAATTTATTGATATATTTAAAGCACATAGTACGAAATAACATTCCTTTACCAAAAACATATTTAATTACTCGGAAGTCACATAATAACAACGCGACGGTTTTCTCAAATCAGGAATGAATATAAATTCAGCTATTAAAAAACTCGCAGATATTTTTTCAGTCATAAATCTGTATTGTGTCGATATCTGACGCGAAGTATTACGAATAAAATAAAGCGTTCTTACAGTAGGATAAGTAAGTTATCGTTTTTTTTAAATGGGATTAATCTGAAATGACTTGGGAAACTTTTCAGATAAATCACTTGGAAACGATACTTAATTCAACCAAGATTTTAGAATCGAAAACGTGATATGTATTTATTGAACTTATAATTATAATAATTAGGACTGTTATTACAGAGGTTGTAAGGATCCTAAGTTTTACTAACGTTTATTTTATTTTAAAACTGTACTATCACTTCTATTTTTATTCCGGCCAGAATTAAGCTTTAATTTGTTTAGCAAATTGTCTGCTAACGCCCAAGTATTTAGTTGTGCTTTTTGCCAAAAGAGAGAGAGAGAAGGAGATTTAGGAAGCAAGTTGCTTGCCACTGCAATTTTTACGAGTTTTCACTCAGTTGCTGGTTGCCTTTAAGGGGCCAGAGGTTGAGCCCTCTTGATATCTGTAACGTATTGTAGTTTCAGCAGCTCGGCGTACTACATACGTACCCTTTTAAATAAAGGCCGTCTTAGTGATAGGCATTGTATATAATCAAAGTTAGCTTTTAGTTAGAGTTTTAGTTAGTAGTTTTATATTCTTACGTTCAGGTCACAAGTGGTTGGTCTTTGTATCCCTAAGTTCGGAAGTACTTGTAAAATTATAGAAAATAAAGGGTTTCGTATACCCTTCCTGCTTGTGTCGTCTGTTACACACAAAGCTTGAGTAAGCTCCCTGTTCCTATTCAGGACACATCAAGTTTCCAAAGCAAATCAAGAGAAACACAAGTCCTGACAAGGTTCCCAACCTTATGCCCGCGGGTACGATGGCGCCCGCCGATCGTTCAACGTGTGCTTGCCGCTGTGCGATCACAATAAAATTGTTTTAGTTTTCAATAAATTTCTTTGTGAAAGATTTCCCATTTTAATGAAAAAGAAATTATGTCCAACACAAAGCAAAATGCGACCAATCTCTTTTTTTTAAGTGCATGCATTTTTAACAACTAAGGAATATTTTAATACAGTTATTTTCATTTAGTTAACCTTTCCTACCGTGCCTCGTTTCAATTTACAATTCCCTACCACATTGAGATTTAACTATTGCGTTGAATGCAAATGAAGAAGAAATAGCATTAAAGGAAAGTTTAACTTACTTCGTGAAAGAGAGCTAGGAATCCTGAGTAACGCGCGTTTACCTTTGCGCTAATTCTTTCGGCCGTATTATTACGTGCCTCTTGATACTTCGACGGCTAGTTTAGATTACGAGCCAACTCCATTAGATTTGTGTTAGCTTCGGCTAAATTTCTTAGTTAGTTCTTATTTCTTATGTTGCATAATTAGTATTGTAATGCATAATGTATCAATTGTATAAATCAGTATCGTAATATATGCTGCAAAATTAGTTTTAAATGTATTATAATTGAATCATTAGTATCGTAACGTATTGTAAAAGTAGCGTGTTACAAAAGCCCCTGTATGGCCATGTACTTATATTTTTCTCAGATATCAACAAACACCGGGACCCGAGCGCGTAATTGCAGACCGCACATTGAGTTGAACAGTGTTATGCGAATTTCCCTTACTGCGCATGCTTGATTGTGTACCTTTGGCGCGGGGAGAAATATTGGCGACTAAGCAACCCTACGTTAGCTTATTCGTGATCTCCATAGCTGTCGAGTGTGTTCGAGTGATGTTTAAAATTGCAATATTGTGGAACTTTGCTTATTAGTTATTTTAACGATTGCACTTGCTTATTTTTCTAATATATGTTTCATTTTTTGTCAATAACAGTGCATTTAATATTGTTAACATATGTTCGTAATAATCGTATTTAAATGTAATTTGTTTACATGTTATAATTCAGTAATTGTAAACTGGAGTATCTCGCTTAGTTTGTTAGCGTATATCGCGCTTTTATTTTCTCATTCAAAGAATTTAATACTAGCATTAAAGATTTGTAAAATTTCTTCAGTGTTATTTGCAAGCACTTGTTATATTCCTCATTGTTTCTTTATGTTGTACGAAGGAACGTTGGTAAAACCTGCAATTGCTTTATTGCTTAAAAGTATAATGAAAATTTTCAACTAATATATCCTAAAATTTCAGTCTTTTCTGAAAGAAAATTTGTACAGTTCCAAAGGAATGTGCAGAATTATAGTATTATATCTTACATTTTGAATGCAAACTGCTTCACATAACTCGCAATAATTTCAGCTTTCTAGTTGTTTGAGCAATACAGCAAAAAATAGTATTTTAACACAGTAATTAATTTACATTTTTACGAAGTTTTAAACGCCAGATTTGTTTACTATCAGATGGCGGTACATACCGTATTTATCTTCTTTTCAAATCGCGCCAACATAGTTATTACGCCAAATTCTTTTCTGAGCATGCGCAGTATGCGACATTCGTTTAACACTGTTTAACTCAATGTGCGGTTTGCCATTACGCGACCCGGGCAGTTGGACGGCAGCGAACCCCATCGGCGGTCTGGATAATAGCGGACGTGGTGCTGTACTAATTAACCATTAAGGTAAAGGGACAGTGCCCACGTCCTCCGTCACTTATCTCTTATGTTTGAGTTTAACCCAAATGGAGGCTACGTTGTAAGCCCGAAGAAAGGGGCCGACTGTTTATCTTATTTTGCTTGAATAAAGGGTAATTAAACCTTCTTGAGTTTACTATTTCTGCTCTTTGAACTAAGCTGTAATTTGCTTAGCAGTTCACTAGGTTTCTCGACATTTAATTTAGCAGAATAAAAGTGAGGAATTCTACAAGCCCTACTCAACTATAAATTCAACTTGAAAACGTAAATGGTGCCCGCCGTCTAACAGATATTCTAGAATTTGCTCTTAGGGACGGAAAGGTTGGAGATCCTGTGCTGTTTTATAAATTCTAACACATTGTGAAAGTATTTGATTCAGAAAAGGGAAAGAAAAATTATTTTTAGTCAGAAAAAATTAAACAAAACTTTTAAGCTGACAGCTAGGTATGTAAGAAATTTAGATTTACTTTCAGGATCATGTAAAATAAATAATATGAAAATCATTCTTATATAATTTATTGAAAGGGTCTTACATTATCATCTTTTCTATACTACGACGTTCTACATTCAAGTGATACTAATAAGTAATATATATCAATTTGCTATTTTCGCAATTTTCAGTCTTAAAATTATAGCTACAATAAACATTTTCATATACAAACTATGTTCCTAAAATAAAAACAGCTAATTAGTACTTTAATAAGAATAAGCGATAACTCGTAATCTACGCTGGCTTCCAAAAATTAAGGAAAAACCACAAAATTAGTGATAACTCATTCAAAATCTATACAAAATTTGAATATGTTGTGAAGTAAGAGTTGCTGAGTAAAACCGAAGTATGCAAATTAGTGGCACATTAATTGGAATATGTCATCTGCGAAGAACATAAACTTGCATGCTTGAGAGCAATCCAGCAAATTTCGTTGTGATATTGAGATAAGACACCTGGGATAGCCAATTTGTAATAATAACCTCCAGACATCATTTGCCTGAAGAACTTCGATGCAGAGCTATTGAGAGACTAGAGGCAGGAAAAAGTCAGACAGAAATAGCCAGATAGCAAAATGTGAGGTTTTTTGTGATTCGTAGACTTTGACAACAATATCTATCCGCAGATTCGGTATCCAGGAAGTTCAGCCAAGGACAGCCAACCGCTACAAGGAAATCTGATGCTCCTTTTAGCCGTTATATTTGCTTTTATGCTCACTAACAAATAAAACCACAACTCCAACATAACTCAGATCTTCCCTTCCTGCAGCCACCGGAACATTGGTGTCAACGTCAACCCTACGTGTCGCGACCAGCCATTTGCTTGCCTTCACGTCACGTCACAAAAACGGAACGTTTTAAGTGAGAACGTAAACATGTGCACTAGGCGGCTGAACAATGAACTGCTGTTCTCTTTACAGATGAGTCCAGGCTTAACCTCCAGAGCAGCAGTGAACGTTATCTAATTATGAGAGAACCTGGTACCCGTTATCATCCTTCAAACATCCGTTAAAGAGACGCATAAGGTGGAGGCAGTATCTGTGTTTGGGATGGTATCTCTTCGAGTGGACGCACAGACCTCCATATCTCTCAACATAGAACCGTAAATGCTCAGGCCTATAGAGATGACATACTTGATGCTTATCTGCGCCCTTAAGCAGGGGAAATAGGTGGTGATTTCCTGCGATAGTGCTAGACCACACAGAGCTCGTATCATGGATGATAATCTTCAGCAGCAAAACATACAGCGTATGGATCTCTCAATCCTCTGCTCTCAGCCCTCCTCTTCAGACCTTAGCTACGCTTACAATGCTTTGCAAAAGCAATGGCTCTCATTTCCCGCGAAGCTGATAGACAGCATCACTCATCTCTGTATGTGCTGTATTGCTTCTAGGGCAGCTCATACTCCATATTGATTGAAGGTAATTTTCCTATACCAAATTGACACATCTGATCTTTTCATTTTATGCATACGTTAATTTCTATAACACCATAATTGTTTGGTAATTACGTTTCATGTTATTTCATACATTATTATGAGTTGTATACTGTGAGTCATTTTTGTTAAATTCTACGTCTAACTTTTTGACTAATCGTTATTTTTGTGATCTTTCAATAATTAATAACCAGTGTATGTTTAGGTTTGCTTTTTGGCACCTTAACTTCGATTCTTACCTGTTTCTGAGGGAAAGGCACATCATAAGTATGCTCTGGTCTCTGTATTCCTGTAGGTCTTTGCAGACTGTTAGTCTGTCCGGAGGAAGATTCGCTGTCCGCCGAATACATAGATATCCTAGTCGTCGCATAAGGAGAAGGATAATACAATGTCTCTCTTGGGGTCTCATACAGCTTTTTGCCAACTGATGCCATAGATATGTTGTCTCCCTTCTGCTCTGTTCTATGGTCTTTAGAAATTAAACACATATTATAAATAAACAATGCACGTAATCTGTCGACATTGTTTTTTTTATTTTCCTGAAAATATTTGTGGAAAATTATATATAAAATATGAGATAATTATAATTAATTTAAAACTAAATTTAATATTTTTTGTATAATAGCTAATTTTAAAACACTAAGAAATATGCAAAATCACATTTGATCTGTTTCTGATAAAAGTTCCTCAATTGTATTCAGTCGATAATGCATCATGATTTCTACATATAAATGAAAAGTCGAAATAACTAGATTTTGTCTTCATAATCATATTAGGATGTTATTGATAATATTATAACAGACACTTTCTATAGCAATCATTCATTGCACCGCCCGTTTCATTAAAACGACCAAAGCAAAGACCGTAACTGATAAAAATATACATCTATATTTATTTTATATACACCAATAGGACATAGATATTATAATAATTTGTTTTTAAGTTGATAGAAATAGTTACAGGAGTATTAATTGTATTTCCCTTCATTGGTAATTTTGCGAATTTAGAAACTAAGTTCACTTCATTATAACTGAATTTGAATTCATTTGAAACTGAAAATTGAAATTCATTTGAAACTGAAATATATTAAATAGGCCTATCCACAATATTAATATTTGTAAAATAAAGCCTGTTTACATAGTTAACTATATTTAAAACATGCTTTAATTTACAAACAGAAAATTTATTAGATTAAATATTATTTTGGAAGTAACATTAAAATATTGAACCTAATTTGTGTGTTTAACATCTCCTTTATGTAATGTTAATGTTACGTAAAAATGCTAATGCATATTTCAATTTTATATATTAAATAAACAATATAAATAAACAATGGTATTGGGATGGTATCTCTTCGGGTGGACGCACAGACCTCCATGTCTCTCAACATAGAACCGTAAATGCTCAGGCCTATAGCGATGACATACTTGATGCTTATCTGCGCCCTTATGCAGGGGCAATAGGTGGTGATTTCCTGCGACAGGGCGACAACGCCAGACCGCATTGAGCTCGTGTCATAGATGATAATCTTCAGCAGCAAATCTTCAGCATAAGGTGAATTATGGATTTCTTTCTTTAAATTTTAAAATTATACAGTGAAAAAACGATTAACTTTTTTTCTTTTCTATATTCTTATATTACATTAATAGCATATTCACTGTATTACTCTCTTAAAATTTAAACATTCTTTAAATTTCTAGAAACAAATTAATATGATCCCTCAAAAATCTTTTTTCGATCACTTTATCAATTAAATAGTAGATACCTCACCAAATTTTTACATAATTTATCCTTTAACATGCAGCTCAAAAACAACAATCATTGCATAATAATGGCAAATCCAGAGTATCAGAATGATCGATTGATACTGAATCCCGTTAAATCTACGTTCCTGATTATCTTGACTTTGCATCCATTAAGCTATGGGCTACCGATAATCGCCTTAGGATAAAGCCTAATGGATTCTGAAATGCAGAATAGGATTTAATACCGAAACCCACGCTGGAATATCACATATTTGAGATGCTGTGAAATCACTGATAGATAAAAACTGAACGTCAGGAAAAAAGGTTTCGAATATTTGAATATTTGAATTTAACGTTGAAAGGTCTTTTTTTTTTTTTTTTTTTTTTTTTTTTTCAGACGGAAGTTAAAAATATTGAAAGAGCTGCTGCAACATATGAAGCTTATGAATTCTTATAAAGTGATTTAACAAAGGAAGATAGAATAGCATTTAAAAGTGATATATATTCAGATATAAATTACCATTTATAAAAATATACCAAACTTGTAATTTCTGTGATTCTAGTAATTTTCGTGAATTAAATTTTATCATTTTTCATATAATAAAGAAAGATATTAAAATGCAAGAAATTATGATTCTTCACATTAACCTATTGATACGTGCAGCCCAGAAAAAAATCAGTCCTTTACCAGGCGGTTTGGAATTGTTAATTTTCAGTCTTTGTTGAAAAGATGGTATGGAATATTTATAGCTTGTAAAACCAGTAGTAGAAGAAATATCGCCATTCATGTTACATTACGCGAAACATTTTTTTAAGGCAACGTTTCATTATTTTTTAGAAACACATTCTGTACCGTTTATACCTCTTTACCTGGAGAAACAGCAATATGTGTGGACAATACACATTTTATATATGGTTTGTCCATAAAGTAGTAAGGCTGAAATTTTTTTGACTTATAAGGTATTTCTCCGGCCTTCTTAGGCATACCTTCGTAGTGTAGTGCTCCGCACGCTAGGCGCGTACTCCACAGGTCTGTGGTTCGATTTCCGGCGAGGGCGTTGCTCATTTTTCATTACTCCTGCTTCCAAAAAATTCCTAATGCCTCTACAGTGGCGCCCTAACTAAAAAGGGTCCTGTATGAAGATATTCCACACCCAGGATTTGGTGATTGGGTCATCTAAACCTCAGTTGCCCTTTAAAAGCGAGAGTGTATAAGGCATTTCTCCCGCCTTCTTAGAACCGTATGATCAGCAAGCTGGGTGCGTATTCCAGAGATCCGTGGTTCGATTCCTGGCGAGGTCTTTGCTCATTTTTTATAAAGCCTGCTTCCAAAAGTACCTAATACCTCTGCAAACTTTATTCATAATTCTGGCATATCGACTTAATAAATTTCAAAAAGCTTTCACACTTTCGCTAAATTGTCGCCACTTTTTGCCGTTGAAGGGCGTCCTGACTGTTTCTCATCTTCACCTTACCTCTTTCCTCCTGAATGAATTTGTGACACTCAAAAACACTTGATCGACCCCATGGCATCTTTCCCAGTCTTGACCATGTCATGGGTCTCACTTGCAGTTTTATCCAGTTTGATGCAAAACCTCGCCGCTCTAACAAACGATTCATTTGGGAGATGACAAGGCACCTCGAAAAGGTTTCACCTTAAACTCGATCCTCACTCCGTAAAGGCATGGAGAGGACTGGCGACCAGTGCGCTGGTAGATAAGATCCTCCACAACCCCACCATCACGTAACATTCTCGTCTTTTTCCACCTTTGGGCGCGAAAAAAAATCAGTCCTTCTACTTCCCGAAGGACACACCCTTCACAATATATGTGTATTTTCAAAACACATGAAAAATAAGATTCTTCCTTAAAAATACTGACATTGCAGGAAAAAAGTACTGAAGTAAAAACAAGAGTATACAGAAGTTGGGACTGATGAAATGTGAGGCGGGCACAGAACTTTTCTCTGGCGAATTATAAAAGCAGACGCTAAACTATGAAATACAAAAATACAATTTAAAAATTAAAGAGGTTATAATAAACAAAAATTACTTCTGTATGAATTAACATGTTTTCCCATGTTTGATTATATCCAAATGCATGTTTGGTCTGAATCGGGCCAATAAATTACTCATTGTCGTGGTTACGGTAAAAGGATGAATCTGTGAACGTATCTGAGCTTCTCTATTTCATTTAGTTATTCTTTTATAGGAATGTGATACGCGTTAGAGAGGGAATAGTTATTTCGCTGTAAACTACTGATACCCTCAGTCGAAACGTGGAACAGATGTCGAATTTCAAGAAGTATATATAGAATTTTAAGAAGCGTTAAAATGGTGAACAATAAACCTGCTGCTCGCAAACCGTATATATACCCATGCAGAAACGAAAATTACCCTTCAATGTCAAACAAAAGTTGCTAAGAAGTACGATTACATTATAGAAAACCATAATGTATCTTGCATAGCTTTGTCTACTTACCATGTATCAAATGAATCGGAAGATGTAAATAAGGGCTATGTGACAGAAATCAAATTTTACGTCAGCAACAAAAAACTACCCCATTCCTCTAAAGAACTTCAGAAGTTTAAAAAACGATGAATTATATCATTGGAACTACATAACATCTTGGTTACATAGGCCTCATAACTTCTGTTGTTGACTTCTGATATTCTTGTGAAGAATAGGATACCATGTTTATTCGCGTAATAGTCGCACACTTTATTATTTTTTTTTTTTTTTTCATTGTGAATGTCTAGGTCTGACTATGATGCGGAAAGATCTACTACCCAATACTACACACTCTAATGCTAAAACTGTACTGGTATAAAAAATATCATAAAATTAGTAACTTATCCAAATGTTTAAATATTATGGTGTTGTTTATTAAATAGTCTTTTCGTCAGTTGCACACAAAAAGAGGCATTTGTATTTATATAGACATAAAATTCACAAGTAATCTTTGTGAAAATTTTGACAAAGAATCCCGACAACGTAATACATAATTCATAATACCTTTCCCCACGTTACTAGTACCTTCACTGAAGGTACTAGTATCACTGTTGTAATGTGAATCAGTGTCTGAAGAATCTTTGTCTTTCCATAAAATGTCATCTTCGTTTCATTCCAAAGCATTGGAGATAACGCCAATCTCTCATTTAGTTATTGTACAAATATAAGAAGTTCATTTTCTGTGACTATGAAAAATCCATTCTTTTCTCCTCTGAATGCTCGCATATTTAAATGCGTTTCTTGTAGCGACATTCCATTCTCTTTCAGCAACTCTATTTCCATTCTCTTCAACATATTCAATAAGCTTCAGTTTAAATCCAACCATATAAATGTTATTATTTCTAAACTTTCCCATAGTCATCCAAAACAAAAAGGACGTCCGAAACACACCACCACTAAATTCACCGTAAAACAAAATATCGGCAAAGATTCTTTTCCTGTAACTTTAGACACGTGCAGTCCGGTAAATTTGAAGCACGTGCATACTTTCTTTAACGAAGAAAGAGTTGAAAGCTTTAAAATGACGGGAAAGGGGATAAGAAATCCTGCCCCCAGGGAGTTCTTCCATCCTCACAGGGAAAGCAGGCAATTCCTTATTGCGCTATGGAGTGACAACTGAGGATGTCAATGGGAATGACATAACAGATGAATCCATTATCAACTGGGAAGAGTACCAGCTGATAATTTTCTGTTTTCTAGATGAAGGTCAAATACGCGACTGCGACTGATATGCGGGGAAAATATTTTGAGATTTCCTCTGCTTCAAAATGGGGGTGAGACTGTTACGCGAAATTAACACGGTAGTTTTACTGCAGCTCCTGTAAAATTTAGCTTTGGTCACATAGCGCCTGTTTACATCTTGCGATTCAATTAAAGTTTCTACAGTATTTGAAGTTGCGAATATTTGCAGAGGAAGAAGAAATTAAGGAACTAGTAATGAAAAATTCATGAGAAATTCACTATGCGATTGCCATGAATTTTATCTGTCTGTTCGTAATACCTGAACCTACATTGTACCTCCTGTTCCACAAACATACGAAGAAAGAAAGACTTTATTTCCTTACATACTCCCACAAAAAGTAAATAGGGCAAGAAGACGCAGCCTCCAGTCGAAAAATCCAAGTTGGTGACAGATAGTCGTCCAAGACGGTTAGTTTGGGAGCCATTTAAAAATATTAGGCAGCTATGGTTACAGAAAAACTTGGAAAATAAATATGGATGGTAAACTATGTTTTTCCTTACGTTTCCCTTTACATACATCTAAAAACTGCTGGAAGGAGATATGAAACCCTAATCGATTAATCTAGGTTCCTAACACATTATTCTATATTACATTTAGTCCGGAACATATTGTAAGAGTCGTAAGAAATTTTATAGAAATGAGAATACTGAAAGAAAATATTTTCTCTATTTTTAAGTAGAATTCCAAATATACCGCATCTGGAAGAATCAATGTTTCGGCAATGGAATAGAGACAAAAGTTCCCAAACACGCGTCTTCATATGACACTGTTATCACCAGTCACTGTACTGTTATCATCAGTCAGAAATTAGGATTTCAAATCAAACTTCCATTGTACAGTCCAGACATTTTTTGCTGCAGTCGTTGTGAATTTCAGTTAAATCACTGTGAGGAGATCTGAATGATGTCAAAGTCAAAAACCACTGCATTCCAGGCAGCACCACAAGAACTGGCAGTTTTCTTGATGGTGCATTGCACTATCAAGAAAAGTTATGAATGTATTGGTCAAGAAAGGTGATAAATGTATTGATGGTGAATGTGTCATCAAGAAAGGTGATAAATTTGTTGATAAGGAGTCTGATTATTTAACTACGTGACACATTTTTTTTTAAATCTGTAATTGAATTAATACAGTTCATAGTTTTGTTCTTTGTTTGTAAAAGCAAGCTCTTACACTGCCACTTCGATTAAATTAATCGTCATCGCTAACCGCGAAAGCATAAAGTTGGACCCAACCGGTTTTGTGACACATTATTCCAATGAGACCTGCAAGGGACGAAATGTTTTCGCCTCGCCTTGTCCCTTTCTACCACTTTGTTTGTGCGCATGTTGAAGTGAATGTCTCATTGATATCTTCTGAAAATTCTGAATTTCTCGAAAAGCATCAGAAATTACAGGAATTTCTTCAAGCTTGATTCCATATAGAAGTTGAGACGAATTACTACCGGCGACTTCCGCCAGCTTCATCCATCGTTCACCATGTGCTGCAGGTATTGTGAACGCATATGTAATGCCTAAATAATTCTTCGTGCATGCTAAAATATCACTTGTGATTTGAAGAACATATCATTCGCCGCGATGTGTCAATATATTTTGTGCTTTCTTAATTATTTAATCCATATGTTTCAAGCTACGAATCTGTGCACGTGCAAGCTTCGAAACCGAGGCCATGAATACGATCACAATGTGCTTCTTCTCTCATTCAGTTCTGAACGATAACTTCTGTATGACGATATAATATTATATATACATATTATTAGTAAATTCAGGAAGTAGCTACAAAAGTAATAAAATTGTCAAAATATGTAAAAAATATGTTTCTTGTGCGTGTCTTTTAACTCAAGGATCGGCACTATCCGGGTAAATGACATGTTTCAATATTATTGAGTAATATATTCAATAATTCTAGTATTTTAACAATTGGGTTTTTGCGCTCTCACAACGCGTTGAGATTTATTTTCTAGATGGAATACCTTATAAGTTATTTCTCCCACCTTTTTGGCGTGCCTTCGTGGTGTAGTGGTTCTGCACGCTGGGCCGGTATTCCAGAGGACCGTGGTTAGATTCCCGGCGAAGGCGTTGCTATTTGTTCATCTCTTCCGCTTCCAAAATATTACCTAGTATCTCTACAACCTCTAGACACATTCCATTGCACGTTAAGTAATTATTCGTGGAGACGATGTCTTGTACATTCAACTTAATTTTTGCCATAATGTTTGACCGACGTTTCCATTACATAGAGCTCTTAAAACAATTATATGATAAGTGTTACAAAGTAACTACGGACTTCATAAACAGATTCTGGAATATCTCTAAGGAAAAAAGGTAAATTGGTGTATAAGAAATGCAAGCAATTTTTCGCACATTACAAGGAGTAATAGGGACTACGAAATGCTTTATTGGTTTAAGAGGAGACGGAAAGTCTCCGCGGACATGTGCATGCCTGCGAGCACAGAGAAGTTAGAGAGACTGCGAACATCTGCATGCCTGCAAGGAGAGGGTTGCTAGGGTTAAATGTCCAGTCAGAATATTAAGGAGCTAACCACTTGTCAACTTCGTGTAGACAGACTCTCCCGCATCGCTTGCCGCAGCCCTCAAGGTTCGGTAATTCCTTTCCCTCTCGATTTATTACTCTCGCCAGTTTCAGCTCTGGCAGATCAGTAATTGGACTATACGAAATAATTGAGTCATATCATAATTGCTAAAGCTGAACGTGAAGATGGTTTCAATGATATAGATTAATATAATGTAATGTACATTAATATATGTAACATTGCCTATGGCAGTAATGCTATACAATTATTTATGTGATAAAATATTAATTCCGAACACATTCTCTAATTATCATCAAGTACCTTCTCCAGAGCT